CACGGCCGGTATATCCATTCGTACACCAGCTGTGGCGGCCCCTCACCACATTGCCGGGAACGGTTTAGGGCGTTCGGGCCTGGGGAAAAGTGCAAGGCAGTGTCTCGCAGGCCCTGCATGGTACCACGTCTTTGTGGGGAAACCAATTCCACGATCTGGGTCGCTGTGAACTGCAGGCCCGCGAGTATGGAAGGGACCAGGTCCAGGCGCCCGTGTACACCAAGCACGGCAAGCAACACGGTTTCGTACATGTGACGCTGAACTTCACCCGAAATTCTGCCCTTAAGGTGGGCATTCAGCGAAGGGGCAGCCAGGGGCTGCGTGTGAGGTGGTTGGTGTGAATAGCCAAGGCTCGTCTGTCTGATGTTTGTCCGTCTGTCTGTCTCCTGCCACTGCCATCTTCGTCCCCTGGCATACGTTGGATGACTTCCTGGCGTGCGCAGCAAGGAGACACGGGTTTACCTTATCACGGGAAAGTTTAATTAGCACGCATATGCATACGCATATACACATGAGAGGTATGAATGGGCTTCATGCATTGGCCGCTTGCGTGCTGCGGGTTGCCGCCCGAGACATCTTGTTCAAAATTCTGGATGCAGGCACACGGAGCGTACCCAGCGGCGTATCCAACACAGCAGTATGCGCAGTACCCGTACCCCCAGCAGGTCCCAGGTAAGTGCACACACGTGGCCAAGTGAGCACATTGCGGTCTAACCCGGGTGATGGAATGCCGCAAAGAAGTCCTTTCTTTTATGCCGCCATGGGCCGAAGACGTATCATTTGGCGCCAATGGCATGCCGTGGGGTCCGCCAAGGGTTCGGGGACCGATGATGCCGATGTATTGTAGTATCAGTTCCCCCATGGGTGTAGCTGCAGGGCCTTTCTGTCTTGTTGCATTTCAAGGAATACTAAAGCCTCTGCGGGATGAGAAGCTATGGAGTTTGCTGGTGGGAGGCCGGGGATTAATGTCCCGTGACAAGCTACACACACGCACAACAGAAACAACTATATATGCGCCTGCAAGCAGTGCGGGGCCGGGGGCTGAAGCCTGGGGCTGCATTACGGCGAAAGCGAGCTCGGTGGACGCGGGGAGCTGAGCGAAGGCATTGTTCGTGTTTTGCGTTTCTGTAGGTTATGGAGTACCGCCGCCAGCGTACGGGGCACCGTACGGTGCGCCGCAGCCAGGCTACAGTGCGGCGCAGCCAGGCTACGGTGTGGCGCAGCCAGGCTACGGCGCCCCACCGCCTGCGTATGGTGCCCCGATGCCTGCATACGGAGCTCAGCCACCTGCGTACGGAGCTCAGCCACCTGCGTACGGCGCACCTCCGCCTGCGTACGGCGCACCTCCGCCTGCGTACGGAGCTCCAGGTAGGGCCTGCTTCGTGTTGCGTATGACCGTAAATTTGACCTTTGGGAGTGGAGCCATGATTTCCTTAAGGGTATCCCGCTCCGTTCCTCTGCCCTTGAATCATGTCTCCATCGGTCCGTACCCCCGTGGCGATATGGAGGAACCAAGAGATGAGGCACGCAGTCTAACCTCCGACAGTTACGCGCTGACTCAGCGTGTCATCTTTTACCCCAATATGTCCCTCGCTGTTGTGGTCCCTCGCTGTTGTGCTTAGCGTTGCTAACAAAGAGTACTGTACTTTGCTTGGTGCCGTGCCCCGTAGCGCCCGCCCCATACCCTGCACCACCCGGGGGTGCCGGGTACCCGACAACTCCTGCCCAGCCGATGTACGCGCCGCAGCAGGGGTATCCACACCAGGGGCAGTATGGCGCCCCGCCTCCCGCGCAGGGCGCCCCCGCGGCCTACGGTGAGTCGTTTAAATAGAGCATTTGGGCTCTGCCAGCATACTTGTTCTATAGACCTGCTCTCTCTCTCTCTGATGTTGCGGGTTGTAAGTGCGCTTTTCCTGTTTACACCCGAAGCATGATCGTGGCGATCCACCCTGCTCCACGCTGTTCTGGTTCGTGTCACCGTAGGCGTTCCCCCACAGGCAACGTACCCGGGCTATCCGCCGAAGTAAAAGGCCCCACAACTCAGCTCCTCCTGTTACATGCCTATGGTACGGGATGCGCAGTAGGGTAACTCCGCTTGGGCTGTTCGCCGTGGCACATTTGGTTGCTAGCAGTGCGATGGGAGGTTAGGGTATCTGCGCGTTCTGTGTGGTTTTGCCTGATTTTACCTGGTGTGACTACCCTATGGTAGCCACACGTCGGTGTGTTTACCATCCTAGCTACATGGACCAACACAACCTGACATCATGGTTATGCCGTATGTGTTTGGAGACATGATGACCTGGCCGAGGCCAAACGACTGCAAATAACTTCTTCAAGAGTTTGGAACTCGGGTGGAGCTCGGAGGAGACGGTCTGATGCGCCGTGTTACTGTACATAACTGTATCATGTGGCGAATGTAAAAATGCAGTCGCAACCATAGTGATGCTCGTGGGCATTGTATGGTTGCATCGTTTTCCGTGCTGTACGAATTATTTTGTTCTCGGTGGTCATATTCATCGCTGTTGTTGGTTTGGTGTATAAGCTTTTGTGAAGGCTAAATTGAGGTGTTAGGCCCCCAGCGTTGCCCTCAGGAATGAACATCATCAGTGCTCTACATATGACGTGCTATGAGCTCAACTTCTTTTCCAAGTGAAACGAGGCCTTAACTCTGCTTTGCTTTTGGGTAAAGTACGGAAGAAAAAATTTCCCATTGCGCCATCTGAGTCCAGGCGATGAGGTCACTCCCCCGGCGGGCGCACCATCCTGTACTCACCCACATGGGGTCAATATAGGATCCCATCAGCATAGAGCTGTCCCGGCTATGTGCCCACCCCACTCCGCCAGAGCTGACGCTCTGCCGCCAAGCCACGGTAGAGACTACACCAGGGTAATGGCCGCCGTCAACTCGTCATGTCAACTCTTTATACGCATTTGTACACTATATGATTATGTGGCCAGCGGATCGGAAAGCTGTACCGCTGATAGCACGGGAAAGGCGTCCGTCTTAGCCAGCACCACCACGCGGCTCTTGTAGGCAAGATAACCCTTGATGTACTTCCGGAAGATGAGGTTGGCTATCAGGCATTGAAGCTCCAGGGGATCCTTCTCAATGCCCTGCAAGCCAGGGGCGGAGAAATAACCGGAAATTATGGCATGATGTAAATGTAGTATTTGGCGTAACTGTGGCAAATAAAACTATGCTGGGAGGGAAACAAGCGGGAGCCCGGGCGCGAGGTCTAGAATGTAGAAACAGTTGTAACACATGGCTGAGAGGAACATCGGCATTGGAGAGCACCACTGAAAGACCGAACCTGGCGCTATCCGGGGTGTGGTTGGGGATTTGGCTTGCTTGCTTGGTACCTTTCGGGCCTTCCTCGGCCTAAAGTACGTGTTTGGATGCGGACAGAACTACTACCGGTCAATTGCACTGCAATATGAGGGAGTGTTTGACCCCACGTAAGCCCCATTACAAACTCCAGAATGACTTTGTCTCTTCGCCTTCCGCCAGTGGTTGCGACGACGAATGGCACCTACCTGCAGCTGCAGCGCGGCCTCCAGCAGAGCCAGGGGTACTTGGTGCGCCTTGGCTGGGTTCATCTGGAGCAGCAGGTGGCAACCCGGCATGAGGGTGGACGGGCAATGGGGGGGGAGCGGCCAATGCAAAACAGGTTGAAGCCGTATCCTTGGGTTGGAAGGAAGTAACCTCTTGACATAGCTGTCTCAGAGATTGCGCAGTTCAGGGCACGTGGCAACGATACAGCTGTACCGGTCGTCCTCTCCGTACCTCCCTACCTCCCCTGTTCCTGGTCTCTCCTTTCCCCTCCCCCTCTCCCCTACTGGTCAATGAACTCGGGCTTCCCTCCCCTCACACCCACCTGCGCATGCACCAGCGCCACCTTCCTGAATAGCCGCCTCACAACCACCAACTGTAACCGCTCCAGGAGGAGGAAGGTGCCGCTCTGAATGAAACGGATCTGGGGGCGCCCAGGAGTGGAGTTCGGGACAGGGCAGGGTACAGCAGGGCAGTCGAAAAAGGACGTGTGAACGGGTCCAAACACACACACACACACATACCTGATTGCGCCTGAAAAACAATTACCGTTCACGTTAGGCCCAGAACACAGAAGGTATGTTCCGTAATGGGCACGCCGTGACGTGCATTACCCTAAAATCCCTTGGCCAAGTGCTCGTGACATGGTACTTATTGTCATGGGGGGGATATCCTCTTCAGGGAGGGAAAGTGGGCACACGGCTCGTCGTCCAGCACGGCGCGTGAATATCTTGTTCTTCTTATTTATCTTTCCGTTGCTCCTTCCTCTGTACGGCAGTCCACACCTGGTTTGACTCCAGGGAGCTCAGCAGCAACCCCAGGCTGCCCTCCTTCACCGCCCTCCGAATGGGTTCGTACTCGGACAGGCCGTACTGTCGTAAAAGGGCTTCACTGGGGAGCACCCCCAGCAACATCTTGACCTGAATGGCAACGGGGTAAATCAAGGACCTTGCTAGGAAGTACGGAAAACTGCAAATTTTAGGCACTCAAGATTTCACCCCGAACGAGGCGATGATGAAAGACGCAGTAGCTAAACAGGGCTATAGGTAAAAGAACAGAAACGCTCCAAATCACAAATCGCACACGGACAAACAGACAGACAGGGACAATAGGCGCTTCTAAACCAAACCCCTTCCAACCCTCCTTCCCTTTCCACCTCTTTCTTTCCCGCGCTGCATCCTCCGATCCTCCTCTCAGCCACTCTCACACACTCACAGGTATGAGGTACCTCAGCACGCGACGAACGTTGTGCGGGGAGCTGGACGCGCAGTGCTCGAACGCATACGTCAGATGCTCGTCCGCCTTTTGAAAGTCCTCGTCGTACGCCGCTAATCGCCCCGTGTAGTACCTGTGCATGTAGGCCAGTTTGCACATGCAGCGGGTCGTCTCCGACTTCATGACGCGATACATTCTTTACCAGATAGCGTAATTGCGCTAAACAATGCAATAAACACAGCGCAGGACCCGCTCCCGTAATGTTTATATCGTTTTAGTTTACTACGAAAACCACTTATTTTAAATCTCAAAGTGGATCTAGGTGATTCGGAATTTAGGAAAGGAACGACGTATGCTTGGAAGGTCAAGTGTGCCATAGCATTCCGCGATTATGGCGATTACGGCTCCTGTACGACGACCACCTGGCCCCTCCCCCACCTCAACGTGACCTTATGCGCCTGCTTGGCGTTGTCAAAAAGTCGGTTAAGTTCAATCTGTTGGAGTGGTTGCTTACAGTTGTTGATGGCATTCAGTTTGAAGTAGACCTGCGAGCAGATTTGGGGCAATCGATGCTTGCGGGTGTTTGGGGGGAAAGACTAAACCGGGGTACTGCGGTCTGGTCAAAGTTGGGTTCGTGTTTCGTTGACACAAACACAAAGTACTTGGGAAAAGTTGCTTACAGGCCATCCTCGACATGTCCTCTTCACGTCTCAGTAACTCTCTCCCCCAATCTTTCATTGAGCCGCAGACTTGAAAGATCGTGAGTGAATGAGTGCGGGAGTGAGGGAGAGAATTCACAGGCGGGGCGGAGCGCTGGCGCGCCGACCCGCACCACATGACGACCTGTGCGCTCCGGAGTAAACCCACGAGGGGGAAAGAAACCCAACTCCCCCAGACAACCCTAGCCCCAACACATATGCACATACATACATACATACATACATACATACATACATACATACATACATACATACATACATACATACATACATACATACACACCTTCATCATAACGCAAACCACCGCCACCGACGCGTCCTTCTTCGCCTGACTTGACTTGGAGGTGGCCAACCCCCGGAAGAAGTTTTGAAGCGAGATGGCGCATTCGGATAGCTGGGGGAGTGGGGGAGGGACAGGAAGGGGGGAGGGCGAGGCAGGCGGTTGAGGGGGAGGGATAATGACGACACACCCCAAGGGCCCCAAAGTGACCCCCAATGTCGACGTCCCAAGCAGTAACGCAACCGCACTGAAGGTACTTCCGTAACCTTACGAATTCACGCACCAAATGATGTTTTTAAAAGACAGGAAAGCCAGGAGGGCAGGGAGGGAGGGAGGGAGGGCGAGAGTGACCACTGGCTCGCACCTCTCAACACAACGGGTCGGCAGGAGGGCGGAGAAAAGGGGCAAAGAGGGGGGAAGACGAACCACGAACGACTGAAGGAAAAGGGGCGAGAGGGGGGGAAGGCGAACCACAAACGGGTGAGAGGGGGGAGGGAGAAAAGGGGCGAAGGGAGGCAAAGAGGGCGGAGAGGGGAGGCAAAGTTGGTATACCCTGGGAAAGCAGAGCCCTGTCTGAGTTCTAATAAGGACTTCCTTCCTTCCATCATTGGAACGGCAGCGGCTGACAGGTGCGTACGAGGTGGGGTGGTGGGGGTGAGACGAACCACGGAAGCAGATACCAGATATAGACGGATACTCCAGAATTAGTTAGCGGGGTTGATGGTGGTGACGATGATAGGGGAGTATTGCCAAGGTCCCCAAGCTCCCCAAGGTGCCCAAGGTCGCTCAGCTGATCCCTCCGGGCACCTTCAGCCCCTCAACCCACCTGCACCTGCAGCCCCCACTCGGCCCATCCCAAACCCACAGCACCTCTTTCGACCGCATCCCGCACCCCCCTCCAAAGCATCCCCCATCCCTCCCCTCCTCACATACATACACACATACATACGCGCGCAGCCCCCTCCAGGGCACACCTGGTTGGCCGCCGCGCCCTTCCTGGCGAGCTCCTCATCCGCCAGCGATGACAACACCTTGAGGTAGGCAGCTGCCCCCAGGGCCAGGGGTATGAGCCACTCCGTCTCGGTGCCCTTGTCCGCGTTGAGCAGGGAGGCAAGGGAGGTCGCGTAGCCCTCTCGGTATTCCCTAAGGGCGACAGAAGGGTGACAGAACGGCGACAGAGAAGAGAGAGATAAAAGGAGGGTGTAGACTTTCTGACCGTATTCACAGTCGTGCCACGGCCGTTCCCCCGGCCTAAATCATCGGCTTTCCCCGAACCCTCCCTCCCGACCATCGTCCTCCGACTACATTCCGATACAAATCAGCATCATCCCATTCCCATCCCATTCCACCTCATCTCATTCCGCGCCAGAGCCCTCGTGTCTTCTCCGCAACCCGCCCTCACCTCCCTCTCTTCCAGCCCCCATCCAGAATTTGCCCGCTCTCCCTCCCTCCCCCCCTGTCCCTCCCTCCCCCTCACCTGCAAGCCACTGCTCGCTCCCCGTTGTTTTGCGCCACCTGGCACCTCATGAAGGCCGCCACCATGTCCCCCCAGGGCTCAGGAAGCTGGGAGGACAGCTGACCAGTGGGTACGGCACGACCTGAGCTGGCCAGCTGGTGGGCGATGAGGCCGGCAGGAGAGGTTGGGGAGAGGAGCTCCGATGCGCGGCGACCTGGGTTAGAGCGGGTTGGGAGCCGTGTGTGCGTTTTGGGGGGTAGAGGGGGTTTGCTGGAGTGCTTGCGGCAGGGGGCTGAGATGGCTGGGGGCAGAGCGGGAAGGGAACGGGCGCTGGAAGTGGAAATTTGGTATACGTCTGCTTAGGCGATATTTCCCATAGCTTTGACAGCCGGTCAGTGTCCCATTTCTGGGCGGGGCTGGGATATGAAACCCAGTATTTGTGCCCGTATGATGTGGTGGGGTGTGAAGGTAGGAAGAAGAGAGAGAAGGTCCTGCTGTGCTCAGGTGCTTCGCGTGCACGGCATCAGGGGGGACGTAAATGCAGCTGTCGCTTTCTCACCATCTTTCCGCTTCAGCGCGTTTCCTAAGTCATGCACAAAGCCTGAAAGCTGCGCCATGACTCCGCCACAAGCAGGAAAGACGTCTGGGGTGCCGGGGAGTTGATGGCCCAGACAATCAAAGCCCACCAAGCACGCTGCTTGTTTAATTGAAGTTATTCAGTGTAGGGATTAAGTGAATTGACTCCATCGGTGTTGGATAGCTTGGGACCTCGCTGGAAATCGCAGATGGAATGAACTCAGCAGCGGCTTGTAGCATGAATACTTTTACATGCTAACGCACTTGCAATTCAGCCGTATGCTTAGACAACTTCAAGCCATTGTTCCGGTAATCCGGTTGCACAAATTCCCCGACACGTACGGGATGGCGCGAGTTCGTTACATCCAAGCCTCAGAAGATGAAGCCAAACATGGCCGGCTTTGTCAGAGAAACTGCAACACAGCACGCGACAACCTGCTTTACACCATTGGGGTTATCCTTAAGCTGTGTCTAGATTAGTCGCTTGTCACTCGCCAACCGCTGCGTTGTATGTAACTGGGAATGCCTCCACCGACAAAAGCGTGCTGTGCCCATGATCATGACTGTGAAGCAGCTGATTGTGGTGTAGCTTATTCGCTGTACAAGCACATAGCCATCGACCAGGTGGGCTAGGCCTGCTTCCCACAACTCCACCTATTCCGCGTTGGCTTTTATATCTATACTATCTTCGTATCCATGCATTTACCCCAATTCATAACTGCAATAGGGAAAGCTGAGCGCCAAGCTTGTCCGCACGGCAGGTGTTGCTTCGCTTGCTTGTCAGTCATCGGCTGTCCCCTTTCCAAGCATTTACCTTCCAGCCTCCGCCTCGCTCGTGTCATCTTCTTCATTTTGTTGTAAACCACGGTCCCATCGCTGTGGACAGCGCTTCCCTGCTTTCCGTGCTCAAGCAATAACCCCCTCCCAGCCGTCTCCATCGCCAAAGAAAGTGCCCCCAACTCCCATTCCCCCCCGTCCCCTCGCATCCATCTCCGCTATTCGATAACAGGTACGATGTCTGAACGAGCAAACCCCCAGATCATGTCGAAATGTTCTTCGCCCCTGGCACACACGCCTGGAAACCCCCGAGCAACCCCTGCGGAGCGACCCCGATGACGAGGAGCAGGAGCTGCTGCTGCACATCCCGTAAGGGAGAGGGGACGGGCGGAACAGTGACTGGAAGGAATTTGCAAGGGGTAACTGGAATTCCCCACCACCCATCACACAAGGGTGTGATAGCGATGGTGATGATGGTGATCCATGGGCGAGCCGACGGCCGGTTGGGGGCTAGAGGCGATTGGTGCGATTGGTGCGATTGACCCAATTCCCTTCCACCTCCAGCCTGACTTCCCTTCCGTTCGTTTCTATCCTGCATTCCCGTGTCCTCACGCGGCCCCACACCACCCCCACCCCCACCACACACAGACAGACAGACACACACGCGCGCGCGCAGGAGATAGGAGATGTGTTGCCAGTTGTACACATACACATACAGCATCTCTCCCCCTATTAAAACACACACACACACAAAAATCCGTTCAACAGATTCGACGGTGCGGTGAAGCTCAAGGCTATTTGTGTTATTGGAGGGGGTCCTCCGGGCAGCGCCCCCTCTCGGATGAGGGCATTCGTGAACCGGGATGACCTGGACTTCGGAGCTGTGAGCCGCATGACACCCGTGCAGGTATGTATGTATGTATGTATGTATGTATGTATGTATGTATGTATGTATGTATGTATGTATGTATGTATGTATGTATGTATGTATGTATGTATGTATGTATGTATGTATGTATGTATGTATGTATGTCCCTGATGACCTCGTGAAACCGTTCTTGTCGAGTATTGGATGTCTGCCGGCGGCCCTCTGTGTGCGTGTATGTACGTGTGTGTTGTACGACGACGTTTGACACCGGTATGTGCTACTGCAGGAGTGGGAGCTTGTGGCGGATGGAGACCCTCGTGGGGTGATAGAGTATCCCGTACAGGTAAGTGTACGATTTGTACGGCACGAAAGAGTGCGGAGCTACGGTAATGCGAATATCCGTTAAGGTGTGTATTTCAGTGACACGAGATGCCTTATTCATTCCCTGCCACCCTTGTTTCCATTCTTGGTGTATCTCTTCCTCCTTGTTCGGGTACGGCGGCTTCCGCCCCTCCCCGCAACCCCCTTTGGACGCTTCTTCCCCCTTACGGCGCTCCATCCCCTTCCCCTCACACACCCCTACTACCCGGTATGCGATGCGTGCGTGTGCGTGTTTTATTAATGATCTGAACCGCGATACATACACGTATGCGTGTATGCGTATGTGTGTGTGTGTGTTTTCTCAGGTCTCCCGCTTCACGGGTGTCCACTCCCTGGACCTGCACCTGAGTGGGGCCTCCGGTGGCTCGGAGACGGAGGCCGTGGAGGTGACCTTCCTGGGGCTGAAGGGGGAGTTTGCGGAGGTAGGCGGAAGGAGGGAAAGGGAGGGAGGGGCGGCTGGCGACCGGGGTGGGGGGGGGAGCCAAACAACGGCTGACAAGATGAAGGGGGGCCCGATACCTACACCAATGCGTGTGGGTTTTGGTTTCAGAGCCAAGAGAAAGGCAATGCACGTATCACCCGAATGAGACCAGGGCTGGGGTAGGTGTTTGGTGGGGGGCCGGGCGTGCGTGCGGGTAGAGTTAGGTAGCACGGGGTGTTGGGGGATTCCCGAGGTTGACGTGGGGGGTGGGAAGCTTAACTGGGCTGAATCAGTTAGCTTGAGGGGAGATTAGCTCCAGGGGAGCTTGAACAAAGTCGGTCGGGATCCATCAGCCCCGTGTAGGGGAGGCCGGGGGAAAGACGAACCACGAACGAGTGCTGTCGAGGAACGAGGGGGCGGGGGCGGGGTAGGAGTGCGGCCCCGGACAGAAGAGGGTAGCGGGATGTGGGTTGCACCATCGAAACAGCCACCGATGCTTCCCTACAGATCCTACTCTGACCTCTCCCCCCCCCCCGCCACACACACACACACACACACACACACTGCCCTGTCGTTATTACTGCAGCGGCGGCGGCAGGCCGTTGAGACAGTGTACGAATCTCGTCCAGTTCCCGGAGATCAGCCGCGGATCCCGGGCATTGGGGAGGGTGCCCATTGGCACTCATGAGCCGAGAAATTGAAGGCGATTTACGATCTTTAACAGCCAAACGTTCCACGTACAACGGTCAACGAGATGACGGGTTAAGTTACAACGGTTTTGCCAAGGAAAACCTCATATGCGGTTGTCGGTTCCCGTGTGCCTCCGCGAGCGGGGGAGGGGGCATAGTAGCTGTCTGCACACCACGGGAGGCTCGGGTGTCTGTCGGCGAGGGGGAGGACGGCGTAAATTTGTGTCTAGTAAGGGGGGTTATAGCTTCACCCGTGGCCACTAGCCTGGCAGTCCCAATGACCTTCCCCAATGCTATGTTTCGGGGGCCAGCCTCATCGTTCTCTTGCCCATGAACGCCGACTTCTGCGAAGTCGGTGAGTGGCGTTTGGGGGTTCATTCAGCACCCATCACCACCAATATCCGATGGATCAACGGTAGCGTCAACTCATCGTCACTTCTCCCCAGCTGGCTTACACGGGCTTACCACCGTGCAAAGGCATGACTGTGTAGCCATTTTCCAGGGACATTATGCCGCGCCTTAGCATGTATGATGCGTCTGAAGACATATATAAATTTAGCTGGAATGTATATGTGAATGAATAAATGAATGAATGAATAAATGAATGAATAAGCTGAATGGGGATAAGCCTGTAGATGACTTGGCCCGGGTCGTGTTGCGTTGGGGCTTTAGCTGAGGGGTTTGAGCAACTGCGTGGCGGGTCTGAGGTGGTACTGGTGGTGGTGGCGGCGGCGGCAGCTAGGAGCTTGGCTTGGCTGTGCGGACGTGTGAGCCGTGGAGTGGGAAGAGTTGGACAGCTGGGTTGGGTTGGCCAGGGTTGGCTTGGGCGAGATATGGCAGATCTCAAGATACCTGGAACGGGCGGAGCGGGAAGATCTGAGAGGCACTGGTGCGGGGACCAGGGCAACCAGGGGGAAGTTTCGGGGCTCCTCCCTGCGGATGCGAATCTCAAAATCAAAATCCCTGGTTAAAAGTCAAGCGAGGCTAGGACTGAGGGCTTGAGTTGCTAGGCGGCTTGAAATGAGGGTGACAGTAGAATATATTGGCAGAGGCGTGCATTTCTAAAGGAGGATATGGGAGGGAAGAAGGATGCAATCGAGAACTGATCTAAAATCGAGTGATAGGCGAAGAGTTCATTATCCAGCTTGATCCTGTACAAGTGGTCGAGGTGCAATTGAAAATTCTCTATACAGGTCCTTATGTAGCGTACGTCGGCACTACCATGGGAATTGGTGTTTTGGCTCCGAAGCCACAGAAACTCCAACGAAACGCACCGTCTGTCTTGGCTAATTCATTCCGAAAATTGTTTGATGTATGGAAACTACAATCCAGTATGACTTTGCGGCTGCTAAGCATTACGGCGAAACCAAAGGTGGAGGAAGGCTAAGTGCTTTACATAGCTAGACTACCTCTTCTCTTCATCCGAAAGCAACCTAGCAAGGAAATGAGTCGTTTAGCTACTTTACGTGAACCCGTGCGCACAATTGCTCTGCCGCCGAACGTTCCAGCAGCAGCGATTTTGGGTCAACGAGGAAAGCTAGTTAATAGAGTCCGCCAACTGACAGGAGCAACCATCAGCTACAGGCCCGAAGACCACCGGGTCGATATTAATGGGTCGCCGAGGGTTGTCGGGGCGGCGGCCCAGCTGCTGGAGAGGACGCTAGAGCACTATCAGTACTCAGGTACGGCGATGCCTTGATGCTTTAGAGCTTTCCCCCTGACAAAAGGCGGGTGGGCATCCGGCTGCGTGGCGAACAGCTCCAAGCGAAACCCCTCACGCCTGTCGTGTCACGTGTGCTCGTGTCGTGTTCCCCCTTCTCCTCCGGTCACATAGGGCAGACAGTCACCGCATTCCGTGCATCCCTGGATTACTCCCCTTTCCTTTCCCGAGTTGCATACGCACATACACACATACGCACATACCCGCACGCAGCTCAGGTCAATATGAAGCCACATTCGTACACGTGCCGCCGCTCCAGCTTCACCGGCTGCACAAAGACAATCAAGCCACATCCCCAACCCACCTGCGCCGCCGCCGTCGCCGCCCCCGCAAAATGCCTCTCCGCCTCCACCTCCACCTCCTCCTCCTCTTCCACCTCCTCTTCCTCCTCCACCCACCCCCTCTCAGGATGTCGGCTATGTCACTGAAGCCCCCTTTCCCTCTACACAGCGGCAGTTTACCTTTGGTTGCCCCTTGCATATGTTTCCCCTTTCCTCTCCTTCCATCCTGAACTGCCCCCCCCCCACACTCGCCCAACACTCCTCCTCATTCCTCATTCCCTCCAGGTCTTCAGTTCACGCGCAAGCAAATCAACAACGTACTAAGCCCCGAACTCAGCGAAGCACCCGCTTTGCAACTTAGGCCGTACAGCCGCCCCATCACCACCGTGTTCGGCCAGATGGACGGCTTCGTGATCTGTCCCGTCCAAGATGACAGCGCCACCGCCGCGGCCGCCGCCGCCGACGGCGTCGGCGGCAGCGCCAAAAGCAAAACCTCCCGGACTTCCTTTGGTGCCATTGGCGGCGACGGCGACGGCGACGCCGCCGCCGCGGCAGCTGCAGCGCCGCCGTCGACGCGGTTGCTACAACTCGCCAGCGGCACGGACGCGTGCTTGCAGCAGCTGCTGGATCTGGCCGCGGAGATCTCCGTACAGCATCCCGCAGACTGTGATTGTACGGAGATTCGGTTGTACCTGGGCAAGCTGGTGCTGACGGATGTGGTTTCCAGTGCCCGGGTTCTGACACCGGAGGCCCTCAGCGGCTGGAGCTTCCAACGGAACGCTAGGACAGTGTTTGAGACGTCATTGCCGCAGGAAACTATTCGCTCGTTGGACAGGTGGGGGCCCGGGGTTGGGGGTTTTGCATGCATGTATGCATGCATTCATGCATGTGGGCCGAAAAAGGGGAGAAAATCTGGGCAGACCTGCTGATCCGATAATCCTAGAGCGGGCGGGGGGCACTTATATAAAGGGGGGCACCTAGGCCGTCGTCGTTCATCGTCCTCTTCCCCCCACACACAGCTCCCTTGCCCGTCCCCGTCCCCGTCCCCGTCCCCGTCCCACTCGCTCACAGGTACCTGGCATCTCGAGGCCTCACCCCGACCCATCAATCCAAATCCGCATCCCTCCATCTGGAATCTTCCATAAACTGGATCCAGTACCACCCCACATTCGCAATCGGACCCGGAGGACAGCTGAGGCTGTCCAAGTTGGAGACCTTGGGCTGCAAACCGATGACAGTGGCGCTCGTTGGGCCGCCAGATCGTACGGATGTACGGCTTCGGTACGTCGCGTCCGTACAGCACGGCGAGGACGACCCCGTTGCAGCGGAGCTGCGGCGACGGCAGGCGGAGTTTTCGTTGGTGAATAACGTCCAGGTGGTTGTCCCCAACGACCTGCACGCCATGGACCTCACCCTCACATCCGCGCGAGTGAAGCTCAAGCGTGTGTATACCTCCCCGTCACCCCTGCCGCCGCCTCCCTCCGCCTCCACCTCGCCCTCCTCCTCCACCACCTTTCGCCGACCCCGCAGCTCCCCAGCTGCTAAGCGTACCTCCTCCTCCTCCGCTGCCTCCTCCTCCGCCTCCTCGACCTTTGAGCTCGCGCCCGTGAGTCTGAAGGTGTCGGTGGCGGCAGTGGTGGACAACCTCGGGGGTAAGCGACTTGAGGTCACCGTGTCGTGCCCCGAACTCAATGCGACGTTGATGGAGATGCACCGAAACCGCCGAGAGGCTCCGGGCGCGCGGGAGCTGCTGGCGGCGCAGCTCAAGTCGCTGCTGGGGCACATCGAGGACCTTCGGAGGAATGTGGAGTTCGAGCCCTGATGGCATTGGTGGGGATGGCGATGACGACGTTGGTGGCGACGAGGATGGGGATGATTATAGCGATGTATGATGGCAGGGGGAGGTGATGGTGATGGCGAGGAAGGGAGAGAGAGTGTGTGTATGTATGTGTATGTGTGTATAGCCAGGCTAGTGAAAGGGGTGATAATGGTTGTGGTGGTTGAGATGGCGGTTGTAATGGCGGTTGTGGTGGTTATTATCAGGGAGGAAAGCTTCCGGGTCTTAGTAGGGCAGCATCAGCAGCAGCAGCAGAAGGACCGGCACCGGCAGCAGGTGGCATCTGGGCATGTGGGATAGCTGCAAGGGGCTTGCTGGCGGTGTTCGGTGGTGTGGTGGACTTTCTTACCTACCTAGTGAGTGATTAGCGGCGCCGCAGTGTGTGAGCGTGTTTGTGCGCGTTAGCGCTGGATAATCGATAGAGAGGGGGCCTTATGCCTTGAATAGCTCTCAAACTTGGCGAGCTGGACGATGATGATGAGGAGGAGGAGGAGGGGGAGGAGGGTGATGGTGATGAGCAGAGGGAGCGCCTCCACCCTACTCCACTCTTGAAGTGGACGGCGTACGATCGTATCCCGCTGCCAATTATTTCAGCAGCAGCAGCAGCAGTAGCACAAGGAATTTGGTCTTGGGGCGTGGCAGCAGCAGTGCCATCAGCACCACCGGTAACACGGCAGCGGTATACTTGGCTGGCACCGTCTGTATGTATGTTGTTACAGGGTGATATAGCTTCACCAGCGGCCCCCTTTCCTGAGGCAGTTCCCTGCTCTCCCCTGCTAGAGGGGCACCCTATTCCAGTTCGTTTTTACACTCTTATTATTTACTCGCATCCGACTTCAGGATGTATTCGTTACGTTCAGCAACTCACCGCCAGCATCCAACAAAATCTAGCGGATCAGCGGCGCCACAACTTAGTTCCTGGTCAGATCGCAAATTGCTATAAACACGTCTTACACCATCCACAAGATGGGGGCCACCTCCCAACATATACACCGAGGGTTCGGCAGGCGGATTTCAACCCGGAACCTCCGGGAGCAGAAGTCAGGCCACTTGCCAACGTCTATGTCTACATGTAGGCTGGTTTACGAGTTTTGAGCTATCACGGCCAGTGGTGAACTGGTATTGTGCTGGCCATTGTAATATCTCCCCCGTGAGGCAGGCAGTCTTAAGATTCAGAAAAACAAACGGTGCGTTGACGGGGCAGCCTAAAGTATCGTTATGAGGTGGGGAACCCCGGGGTCGAATTACCTACTTCCCTTTCCATTGGAAAGAGTCCTCCCGCTCTCCCTCTCACATACAGCCCATCTGATTCGGAGAGCTCGGCAGCGGCAAAGAAACGACCCTCCTTGTCCTCCCGCGCAGCTGGTAAAGTGCCGTACTGCTGTGCTGGCAGGTTGGGCATGGTTGTTTTTTGTTAGTTTTGTAGCTCCCTCGTCATTTTCACCGTTGTGGTGTTCGGGTTTGATTGGGGCGACTGCGATAAGAGGGAACAAAGATGATGATGGTGGCGATAATGGTGGTGGTGATGGTGGCCTTGCTTCGGTCTTGCCCGGCGCTTGATGTGTGTGTTTGTGTGTGTCTGTACGTATGTATGCATCTTGTGCGCCGCGCCATGGCCATTGTGGCGGTGATGGCTGCGGCTGCAAGGACAATGTTTTCGCTGCTGGGTGTATGCGTGTCTCTCTCTCTCTCTGTCTCTCTTCCTTCCTCTCTCTCTCTCTCTCTCTCTCTCTCTCTTTTCTTCCGCCAGACGGTAGTGGAGAGCAGGAGGTTTCAGTGTATTCGTGATTATCCATACCCTCTCCCCCCAACCCCAGGTCAACCACTCACACACCCACAGGTGAGAGCGAGTTCCCCACCTCCTCGGCCTTCAAGAGCCACCCTGCTATCAGAGCGTCGTGTCTCATTACAAACCACTCTCGTCGCATTTTTGCCGTTATGGTCTTCTGCCCGTTCCGCACGACCGCATGACCACCCGAGCCCTGAGCGAATGGCAACCAACCAACCAACCAACTAACCAACCAACTAACTAGGCATACACTCGACCGGTCGCCTGTCGGTAACAGGTCGGTAGGGTGGGGCCCCGGTAGGGTAGGGTTGCCGGTAGGAGGAGTTGCCGGCCTTCACCCTGCCGAAGGGTTAGCCCACCGATGGGCTACCCAACCTATCGGTTACATTACAAGAAGGGACAAAATGTGGAAATCCGCGAACAGCATACATGGCGTGTGGGTCTGCGTGTGCGTGTGCATGTGCGTGTGTAAGGGTCTGCGGCACGGGAAAGAAATCGCAAGTAGGAATGTGTATGTAAGGCAGAGGGAAGGAGGGGAATGTAAAGCTCACGTGCCTAGGACATAGGAACGGGGGTGCACGCCCTCGGTGGAGCAGGAGGGGGCCTAGTGGCCCCTCACGCCCCTCTCTATCCCCCCCCCAAGGAGGAGAAGTTTGCTTCGGTGGTCGGTCCCGTTAGGTGCCCCTGGCCAGCGTCATCGATACGTAACAGATACATACATACATACATACATACATACGTCATGCACAAGGAGATTTCAAGCTAAGGCAGATCGCAAAAGCATCCCAGGTGTCGCCACACCAATAAGGAAAACCCCCGCTTCTTAACCACAACAGCAATCCGTCAGGTGCTCGAAGGCAGCGCTGCAGCGGTCTTCGGAACAGACAGAAAGCTCGACAACCGCAGCATTAGGTACCTAAGGATTAAACATTGTGTACGGAACTGTGTTTTCATTTGTGATGGACACCTGTGCCGCGCCTTACTCGCAGCGCGAGACGCCCACATCGTCCTCCTCCTCCTCCTCCTCCTCCTCTGCTGCTCGTCCTAGGCCGCTTCATCAGCGAACCTCGTTCAAATCTGCGCCAGGCTGGCCCCAGGTTGCGGCTCTAGTCCTCCATCGCCCTACACTCGCATTCACTCCATCCCGCTCACTTACCCATCCACTCACACACACACACACACACACACACACACAAACGCAAGAATTCTTCTTTCTATTCTCTCCCATGAGCGCACTCCGCACAATCCCAACTGCTTTCTTCCCTTTACCCCTCTCCCTCCCCCTCTTTCTCTCTCTCACTCTCTCTCTCTCCCACTTCCCTAGTACACTGCCTCCCTCTTTCTTCCGTTGGGGGTCAACTGCGCTTACGCGCCAAAAGCCCACTCCTTGAAGCCCTTCCACCTCTCGGTGTGCATGTAAGTTGAGTATGTCGGCGGAGGGCGGGATGAATGTACGGATGAGCTCTTCAGGCCTGACCGTCACCACGTCATAACCCACCACCACCACCAAGAATCACAGGCAGCGCTTGCGCTATCACAGACATGCAAAGCCACACCGCCAGCGCCAACACACACACCCCTTACCCTTACCCACCAAGATCACGACACTTTATTCACATCACCACCACCATCACACCGCGCAATGCCAAGGGACGAACCCGCAAATGAATGCCTTTATTTTTCATACGTTCATTCCGTTCATCAATCGTTTAAACCCTTGGTTCGTACATTTAGCTTGCTGTTTTAGCAATACATCCACAACCGCCTGCTGGCGACGTCCCCGGTGGTGTTAGACCGCCACTGCACCGTGGTAACCGCAACCGTCACAACCGTCACAACCATCGCCACCTAGTGTGTTCGAGCTTCTAGGGATATTCAGTTCGTTGATTCGTTGGTTCGCTAAAGCGGTATTCAGTTACCGGGCTCTGCCCGGTCGTTGAGTGCCCGCTGCTCCTTAACCCGCGTCCGTGGCTGCTGCTACTGCTGCTACCGGTGCTACTGCTGCTACGGCTACATGGACATATACCTGTCCTCGGGCTCCTCAACCCCGTCCCCTTTCCCCCAGCCTCGCCCTCTTGGAGCCCCCGCTTGGTTTGCGGTGAACAAGCTACTCGCTCCCAGTTGGTGACACCCCACCACCACCACCACCAACACCACCACGACTACTACTTCCCCCCACCACCACCACCAGCATCTCCATCTCCACCCCCAACCGCAACAACGCTCTCCGCGGGGGCGTCCCAGGCCGCCGCCAGCTCCTCCTCGTCCACCGTGACCGCATGCACCTTGTCAAAGTCCCTCAGACCCTCATCCCGCTTCTCCTGGCCCCCCATCTGCCCTTGTTGTTGCTGCTGCTGCTGCTCGGTGGATTGCTCAGGTAGGTGGTTGCTGCCAGCCCCCCCGGATATTCGCCCCACCGCGGCTGTCAGAGAGGTTGACGTTCTCCGGCGCCCTCTGGTCAGGTGCGTGCTGTGCCGCAGATGGAGGTGGTGCTGGTGATCGTGGTGGGGGTGGTGGAGGGCTCCGCCCGCGCCCTCGCCCTCGGCTTCTTTGTCGTCGTCCCCCCCCGCCGCGTCTGCCTCCTCCGCCGCCGTCCGCTGTAAGAGGGCTCGCTGCATCCGATCGAGCCGGCCGGGCTCTCTAGCCGACCCCTGCTGCGGCTGGTGATCATTTGTTTCGGATGGCTTCTCGGCGCCGCTACTGCTGCTACTGCTAGTGCTACTGCTACTGCTAGTGTTGTTGTTGTTGTTGATGTTATTAGGATCAGAAGGCGATGAGGAGGAGGGGGAGGACGAGGGGGAGGGGGAGCTGGCGAGCGCAGAGAGTTGATCGATCTGGGGGACGGAGGTGGAGGAGGCGGCAGAAGCCGTTGATAGTTGGGTGACAGTTTATTGTTGACCCGTTAAAGGGCCCCTGTACAGCAAGAGCAGGTGGTGCTGATGGGACCGATTCACATACACACACACACACACACTTAATCACACACGTCTCCCCCTCCTCAGAAGGGAAGCCGGTAGCCCCCATTGAGGTACGGTAACCAACCACCCAACGACCTAACCAACCCCCCTGCCTCAAGCCCTTATTGGTGGCCCCCACCTGCACCCACCTGCTGTACGAACTCCGTACGATTAACAAGGGGAACTGCGCCTGCATCCCCCTGGACCGTTAGGTTCACAGCCGCCAACTCCCCGGGCAGACCCCACTTCTTCTTGAACACCTGCGGTGGCGGTTGGTTGGCGGTTAGGAGGTTGGTTGGGGGTTAGTCCGTTGGAAACAGCTTGGTTGGTCGGGCCGTTTCATCGTCACTGGATGGGATGATGGGAATGGCGGGCGCAGGTAGGACACATGTACGACGGCAATAAATCAAAACCGCCCCGCGACATCTCCCGCAAGGTCGACATGACAGACGTACAGACGTACAGACAGAACGAACTCCTCCCACCTACACACCTTCCCCCCTCGCAGCCGCCACCGCATCCGACCCCACAACTTGATGGCCACCGCACCCGCAGAAAACACATGCATACATACATACATACAAACACACACAAACACACAAACACATTCCCAGCACTGCCTTCTCGTGCCGCAAATTGCAAAGAAAACACAGCGCGCCGCCCGTGCATTTCCCCTTCCCCAACCCCCACACGGCTCCCCCCCCCCTTCCCCACCTGAGCCACCTCTTGCTTTCCAAGCCAGACACACGCGTCTTGTAACCTCAGCGCCTCCAGATCGTCGTACACCCACTCCAACCACTCATTAACGTACGAGCACAGGCCACTTAAGTGGAGAGGAAAGGGGCAAAGGGAGGGAGGGGAGTGTGATGAAGGAGGGGATGTGGCGATGGGTGCAGGGGGAAGTAAAAAAGGGCACCTGAAGGGGGGGATGAAAGCGGGGAGATTTTTGGAGAGGGTAAAATGTGTTCGTGGATTAGATGCAACTCCCAGAGCCGCGGGGGTAATCATACGATGGGGGGGTAATATCAGAAATGAGCTGCCAGCGTCCCAGCTCTAAGACTGCCGGAGTCCTAAGAGCCCCGGGGGAAAAGGGGGGAAAAGGGGGGAAAAGGGGGGAAAAGGGGGGGGTGACCGTTTGACCCACAGCTCAAATCCGTCCTCTGTGACGGTG